CTGAGGCTGAATGCAAGAATTTAGTCTGATGGGTTCTCAGGTGTGTGCATACATGTGACTTATATGGCATACATATGATGTGATGTGTGCATAAAGTACTTTCTCTAATGTTCACACAGCGCAGTAAAAGGTTGGTCTGCTGATAAAAATCCTCACTCATAATTTAAGGATGAATGGTTGTCACAGACGGTTAACTCCCTTCAACCTTTAAGACACTGATTCAAAATATAAACAATTCTTTCTAAGTATGTATATGTATATTCTTTGCAGTCTTTTCTTCTGCTACCAGAGATAAAAATAGAAAAAAATATAATTTCAAAGTCAAACCATTTGACTTTTAGAACAATGCAGCTGGCAACATGTATGCCATCACATTTTGCAAAGCAAAGCAGACTAACTGCAACGTTATTTCTTAAAAATTGCGACAAAGCAAAGTGTGATGATATGTTAGGTATAGACTTAAAATTCTGTGTCATTTTCACATTTGACCAATAAAATCAGTTTTACACACACACACTTTGGATGCATATGGACAGAAGAAGATAAAACCACCAACTGTACAGTTAACGGCCAGTTGAATATTACTTAGTCCTGATTTTACTTTCTCAGATTACAAAGTTCTGATGTTATTGTAAAAAGCAAAAAAGTTGCACGGCATGGTTTCTCACATTCGGCCACATGGACACCAGAGAAGACAAATCAAATTAAAACCAATCCAATTAAAACCCACAGGAACCTAGTGGTAGATTTGTTTTAATGAAACACTGGAATTGGTACCACTGATGCTATTTAGCCAGCCAGCCTCTGCCGCTGTGCATTCATGTAGAAAACACTGGTAAGGCGGTAAAGAGCTGTTATGGAGTGGACTGCAGAGGTTCACAAAGAATTTAAGTTCTTTGCAGACGGCTGAAGGCCAAAGAGAGGTGAAGCAATACTTACTCAGGTTCTGTGTATTATTAACAAAGGAAGCGCACAGTTTTCTACTATTTCAACCAGGCTCCTGTTTTAAAATAGGTCCAGGGGTCTGTCTGAGTTTTTCAGGATGGTTTTGCTGAATTAAATCAAGAACAGCTCTTTCTTTTACACCACTTTGTGTTCTCCGTTTGAAGGGGGCTCTGGGTTTTGCTATAAAAGTATCAAAATAAGATGGTGAACCTGCCCCGGGCATCTTCATGCCTTCAGGCTTAATTTTGTGTAACGTTACTTCCCTGGTGTGATAGATACCGTATATACAGCAGGTAGATTGATTTCTGTCTACATTTCATTATCCACAGAGCCCTGTCTGTCTGGTACATATCATGGAGCTCTGTAGATTCTGATGGCTTTGAAGATTCTTGTATTTTCTTCCTGATATCACAACTCGGCCCGTGTGTGTGTGTGTGTGATTTATTAATAATTACGTCAATGCTTATCTTCTGCTACAGTGACTCATCTCCCATAATCTGGACATACTTAATAAATAAATAAATAAATAAATAAATAAATAAATAAATAAATAAAATGTGTTACCCATCCATTTTACCTGAACTTATAATTGTTCTGTTGAGGAGCTCTACTGACCTTCTTTACTAATTCTGACCAACGCTAGAGGTATTAGTGAGATCTAAGCTGTAGGATGAGCTCTGTAGTGGTTTGTTGAGCCTTGGGGAAGTATGAGAAAATAGGCTGTGATTTCAGTGGAAAAAACAGATCATGTCTGTCTGACAAGACTGTACCAAAAATTGAGCATTTTAGTGGTTACCTTGTGGGCCATGTCTCTACTGTCTACTATCGGAAATAAAGTCACAATATAGATAGGGTTCATTGCAGGGCTATTGGAGTGCACTATATTATCAAGTGTTCCTGATATTTTGTCCACCCCCTTGGTAATATTATCAAAGGGAAATATCATGTCTCACAATGATGAGCCTGAGAGCTTACAGATAAATGTAATATCAAATGGTTTCCTGGCAGACACTTCCATTTCTTCCTGTGGTTGAAGATTGATTGACAGTAAGCAGAGCAAAACCTAATAAGTGCAATAAATATGAAAGCACTCAACTAAGTCACACTGGAGAAACTATAGAAATATTTAACAAAACTAAAGGTGTGAGTGTGTAGAAGTATTTTTTTTATCATCCAGGAATGAATGGCAGCTAATGGTTTCCTCTAAAGATATAAAAATCAATCCCTGATAGCTCTAGCTATGTTGCAGACAGCCAGGAATAATGTAACAGATAAAGACAGCTCACAGCACATGAAAACAGCTGGGTTGGACACAGCCTTTGGTTCTGTATATTGTTGTGCACAATACACAGGCAAACAGCAGTTTTGAGAATTTGAGTGAACCTCACATTGTTTAATCCCTCTGCTGCATTGTTATCACACAGTTTTTTTTTAAAAATAAAATCTGAACTGTTCTCCTCTCTCGTAGAACATGAGTGATGCTATGGCAGTGTTGCACAAGCTGCAGACAGGCCTAGACGTGAATGTGAAGTTCACAGGGGTGCGAGTCTTCGAGTACACCCCAGAATGCATTGTGTTTGATCTGCTGGACATCCCTCTCTACCACGGCTGGCTGGTTGACCCTCAGGTAAAATTAACCTTACTCATCATCACTGCTGTTTCTCTTCACCTCCCTGAAACCAACTTGTTTTATTGTACACTGGTCTATCATCGACACGTCTCTTTCAAATGTCTGAGGTCGCTTTCACGTGTGTAGTTGGGTTCATTGCTGCTGTCTAGCTTTTGTCTGTTTTCCATTAACCCTTATTTGTTACAAACAAACCAAGAGATGTAATTATGATGTCATGTGCACAGGTAACTATTTCTTTTGTGACTGTTATCCTGTGTCATCAGTGCTGCATGAACCCACAGGGGAAAGCAAAAACACTGTAGACTATGTCTGTTCTGGTGACTGAATGTTATTGCACCTGATGGGTTTATATATCTTATCTAGTTCTTAGAAATAAAAGGTGGTCATGAGCATTATTAGTCATGATTGAAACTTGAAAATGATGGAACCCCTGTTTTATTGGGTTGGATGCAGTAACTGCCAAGAAATACATGTTATTGTGGTTCCCAAATGATTTTGGATGATTACACATCACTTCCTTGATGGGTTAGTAGCAGTCTAGGTTTTAAATTCACATCCAGCACTACAGTGTCCTGTGGTTGGTCTGGTTTACATTCCCACCATAAACAGCTCCATAGTTCTCTTGGAAGCACACCACCTCATTTTGAGGTGCTCTTTGTGCAGTTGTTTCATTGAGTGTTTAAATGACAGCGTTCACACCAACCTAAAATAAAGATACTTAACAAGTAAATTCACCAGAGTTCAGTTGAACTGTACCAAAACATTTACACAGTGATTGTAGTTTCAGTATGGACCCCTTTCACCAGAATGTTCCTCTCCATTATACATTTTGTATAAATCTGCTGTGTTTTTTTTTAGTAAAACAGCAGCAAAGCCTGGTGAATGTTCTTTCCCACAGTTTTTATCTTTGTTTGCAGATGCATGACATTGTCAAGGCAGTGGGTAACTGCAGCTACAACCAGCTGGTAGAGAAGATAATATCCTGCAAACAGTCAGACAACAGCGAGCTGGCAGGGGAAGGTGAGTGCTCTCTCTTCAGTCTCTCTATTTTCTGACCTGCCTGACTCCCTTCCTGTCTCCCCTCATCTCTTCTCTCCCCCCACTTGTGTACTTAGAGGTAGAGAAAAAGAACCAAAGTCATCCATATATCTAGTGGCACAAGTACAATATTAATTCAATGGCACATTCATTACATGAGATATGTTTACTGGGCTGACTGGTACATACTTGCATACTGCACATAAGACTACGTTGAAATAAAACCAGGACATATATGTGGCCACTCATACAATGACCTACTTCCACAGCGCACAGTTTTCTTACCAGCTGTCAGTAACTTCTCCTCTAAAAATATTTGCTCATTCAACACTGAGCTTCCTGAGTAGTTGTCTGCTGGGCTGCTGCCAAGTCAACAAATAGAGGCCTCAGTTGAATTGATACAGGAGATTCACTCCTTTCTATTGTATTTCTGCATTTGTAGCACAGAGATGATTGATTTAAGTTGTTTGATGATGACGCTACCCATCACCGCCTGAAGAGATGAATTTGCAGCCACTTTAAATAGACTGATATAATTCTGAGAAAACTACTACTACTACTCATGCTTTAATGCGGTTAAACATTTAATAGCAAGTATTCAGTAGTTATTTTATTTTCTGTCCGTCTCTAAATGTTGTGGCTCATTCTAGGGTAGACTATCTTTCTGTCTGTTTGAGTATCTCTCTGAATTTATGTGTGTTTGCTCCAAACTGAAAGCTGTTCTGTCTTACAGATGTCTCTCGCCATCTGCCTCTCAGCCTATATTGAGTTCACTATAGTAAATGTGACCACTTCCAGCAGCACGGAGTCAATTGAATATTCAGATAACGGCTATGGACATTACAGCAGAGCTTTCCAAATAGTGACCTATGTTAGATAGTTAAAGGATAGCTTGATTTTTAATTGCTCATGCAGTAGTTTGTGGTCTCACGATGAAAACATTTGTAAATCAAAAAGAGGTAATTTACAAGTAACAAATGGAAGTTATGCTTGCACTTTCCTGTGCTAAATAATTGATTATCTTCAGAACGACTGTAGTTACTCAGAGGTGAAGCTTATCAAAATAAAAGCACCATCACTCAATTAAATGGTCCATTTTAAATCTGTCTGTATATTCTGCAAAATACAGGGACTAGATTCAATAAAAATAAATATATAAGACTCATCATGGGTCCATGTTTCTACATTTGCTAATAAATAGTGAGTTCAGTCTCTCCTTGTTTGTATTCCTGTATGTTTCTTCTCTGGACCTAGGCATCGTGGCAGAGCAGTTCCTGAACAGCACAGCCACTCAGCTGACGTACCACGGCTTATGTGAGCTCACATCCACTGTACAGGAGGGAGAGCTCTGTGTATTTTTCAGGAATAACCACTTCAGCACCATGATCAAATACAAGGTAAACACTAAAAAAAAGTACTTCAGTAGTAGTGTAATAGTACAGTAACTGTTGACATTATTTGTGAGTTAGATTGAGAAACATCTGTCATGGAGCTCACTGTTGAAATTGCAGCAACCTAAATAGGTCAGGATATGTTATGAACTGTCCCTCCAGTGAATGACAAATGCCTTGAAGCCCTTTACTTTTACAGGAACAACTACTGTTTCCTGTGTGTAATATTTTAATAGGTATTTTGACAGAAGTCTCCACCACGTAAAGGCAGATTACTTTCCGTTTTTCTACTAATGTTCATACAGATATCAGCAGATATCGCTTTAATTAAATGCTTCACTGTGCGCTATTCAGTAAGAAATGCTTCAAATTCTTACTTATTTTTTAATGAATAGTTGATTTTTATATAAAGCCTTTTAGTCATATTTCACTGTGCTTCAACATTTGTAACTATTATTTGCAGTAGATAAAGAAAAAGAACTTACTATCAAGTGTTACCATCTACTATACACAAAAGCTCCTCAGTATTTTCCCAAAGTATTCACTGCACAGACGTGCTTTAACGTGTTCCTCAAACTGACGACAGCTACGTATTTATGTGTTATAGATATACAACATTGGGAGGTCCCATTCATTACATACACGTCTGCATCCCACCTCTAACAGCCCCCTGCCCACAGCTGGCCCGCCATATCACTGCAGCCCAGACAGACCTTTCCTGTTATCTACAGGAGGGGAAGTGGAGCTTGCTTACTTTTATTTTGAATAGTACTCTGTAGTTGCCAATGTAAGCAAAGCTGCGTGTATCACCTATAACCCTCAGGCAAAGAATCATGACAACCAGGTTCTCAGCTGCAAATCTATGTGTGTACAATCACACCTGATTAACAACCATATACAGATCATGTGGGTGTGTACTAACACTAGAATATGCATGTATATGTATATATACTGTGACACTAATCCGATGTGTGTATGGGGTTGTTTCCTAGGGCCAGCTGTACCTCCTGGTTACAGACCAGGGTTTCCTGACAGAGGAGAAGGTCGTCTGGGAGAGTCTGCACAACGTCGACGGAGACGGCAACTTCTGCGATTCCGAGTTCCGGTTGCGGCCTCCTTCTGATCCAGAGACTGTGTACAGAGGCCAGCAGGATCAGATAGACCAGGTCTGAGCACTGATGCAGGCAAGACTAGCAGAACCAGCAATTACCCACTCCAAAAACCATGATGTTTTTAATCATGATGTGCTTTTCACACTACCAGTGTGCTACAAAACTCAAGACAGGATACAAGACCAGTTATGACATACTGGTCTTCACTGTACATCCCTCAGAGTGACCTGGTTTTTGTACAGAAATGAGAGAAAAAAGGAAACAAAACACACAACATTGAATCCATGGAAACAGCAGTGGGAAAAAAATCCTCTGTACACCATCCCAGGCAAAAAAAAGTTACTCAATAATAGATGCGTTATAGCTCCCAATACCAGGTTTTTAGACAAACGCGACAGCCTAAAAAAGCACATGGCAGCACTGCATGGCACCTCCACCTCCCAGCCCCCTTCATCCATGCTTTGCTCTCCATACTGGCCCACAGTGCACTGGGTTTATGTCCCCCAGGCATTTATACTGGTTTCACAGCTTTCTGCTCAGCCAAAATGGTCCCGACACAAAGCTTGCTGACAAATTGTGTGCTCCCACACACACAGACTAGACAAGAACATGGGGGCTATTACTTTTTATTCTACTTGCTTACTCAGGCTCAGCCCTCCTTATTTTCAAATTAGGTTTGGTGTGAAAAAAAAAATCTATACAGGCAATTTTCTGCACTCATAATCAGTTCAGTTAGATTGGAAAAAACTTGTAATTATCCCAGGGGGGAAATTGGGTCTTTGCAGGAACAAAGTACGTAACATAACAGAAGATACTGAACATAATACAATGGATAACACCAGCATAAAGGACCTTTACGCAGCACAACTAATTACTACAAAAGAATAATGAAGATAGTGCTACAAATGGAAATGAATGAGGACAGACACAAATGGGTCAGTGAATAAGTAAGGAGCTGTGGTTGTGGGTTACGGCTGTGCTTGTGCGTGGATTGGTCCGTGTATAGGCTATCAGAGCACAGTATATATACCTAAGCGTCACATTGACAGCTTCGCTCATAAATCATCAAGTCTTTCTCTCTCTTTGTGCGTGTTCATGTCAGGACTATCTGATGGCACTGTCACTGCAGCAAGAGCAGCAAAGCCAGGACCTACAGTGGGAGCAACTCCCAGAGGGCATCAGTGACCTAGAGCTGGCAAAAAAGCTTCAGGAGGAGGAGGACCGACGAGCCTCCCAGTACTACCAGGAGCAGGAGCAGGAGCAGGCAGCTGCGGCAGCTGCAGCAGCAGCACAGGTGAAGAGGGAGGGGTTGAGGAAGATGGGAGCAGGTGGGAGAGGGAGGAGACGTATGACTGAACAAATACAGAACATTTATTGTAGCAGAGAGGGGAGATGTTGCATTTTATAAACAGATGGATGTCTGCATCAGACAGTTTGAGCTATAAAGGAGGAATTGAGTATGAATGCTGCCACCCTTCAGTGTGAGGTCAGGACACAGGCGCTGCTTAGGTGCTTGTGACAATCTCCTTGTTTCAGATATGTGAGATATACAGTCAATATCAAAATAAATGATTTCTATAAATTATATAAGAAGAAGAAGAAGCAGCAGAAGAAGAAGATATATACTATACTAATATTAATCCCCTATTGGAGAAATTGTTCTTTTCACTCTTTATTTTATACACACACACACACACACACACACACACACACACACACACGGGCTAAAATGCTTAGAACCAGTGTGGTAGTGCACTTTCTAAAGAAGCTTTGGGGTCTTTTTAGCTTCTCTGACATGTTCTTACTATTATTTTATTCAACAAATTTAAAAGAAATGAAATAAATAAAAATGGAAACTAAATGAATGATAGAGCCTGAATTTGTGAGGAGTTACAAGGTTATGTTATATAATGTAAGGTATGCTGCTACATTTATTCAAACATGACCTAATACATAATTAATTTACACTTCAGAGCAATAAGTCACTTTGCTTGTAAAATACATATCTATGAATTTTCGGTCCTGTCTGTGCAGCAAGGCCAGCATGAGCCCGCAGAGGGGGACGAGGCGGACAGAGGAGGTGCGGGAGCAGGCGGAGCAGCAGCCGGCGCTGGGACGGCGGCAGCAGCCGGAACCACACCAAGCCCGGGAAAACAGTCCTCTAGCGGGGAGCGCAAAGCCAAGAAAGAATCGAAGGATAAAGACAAATGTGTTATTTTGTAACATACAGCGTGTCTGTGTGAGTTTGTGTGTGTGAGTGTTTTGTGCATTTGCTTATCTGTGAGAAAGGGGACAGCATTTGTTTCTCCATGGACTGGACAGACATCGCGCAGCCCCCACTTGACGACAAACAAGGGAAGGAGACATTTAAGGCGAGGCGCGACGAGACTAACGGAGGATTTGCTGTTCCCAAACCACTGGTGCCTGCTATCCTCTTTCCTCAGTGGAACCTGGACATCAGAGGAAGGGACACTACAACGACAACTACCCCGTATCTTTCATAGAGTCGGCCAAACTTTGTTACAAGTTGCACAGTGCACTATATTTGTGATGTGGGGTCTAGTTTATTCGGGGTGGTATGTTTTATAGCAAAAGACATAATCTGAAGAAACAAAACGTCACCCTCTCGCCATGTTCTTTTCCAAAAAAGAAACCATTCATTTCATTGTCTTTTTTCGTTATTGCAGATTATAAGCTTTTTTTTGTACGTATCAATATTTACAAAACGTATATATAGACAGACCCACTTTTTTTGGTTTTCGTTGAGTTTGTTAAGTTAGATGCCAAGATTCACATTTTATTTATGTATATGTGTACAAGGTAGCTTTTGGGAGAGGTTTTATTTTTGTCTGTAAGCTGAGAGGGATTTTCTCATAATATTGCCTGTTGGAAATCAGTGTAACACTATTTGTGTCCCCTCTGAAACACTATGTACTTAAGGGTTAAATAATGCCAGATAGCTGCCAGATACTGTAGCTACCTAACAATACTCATCACAGCTTGCCCTGTTCAGATTTTTGCCTTACCAGAGTATGGCAGTGTTGTATTCTGCTCTGTCTGAATGTGAACGTGTGTCTGTTTTCATGTGTATGGTATGTACAGTACATGTGTGCTACGTGGTATAATGGCGTATGGTATACATGTCTCATTAACTGAGCATCGCTTTATGTAACAAGTTTCAATTTGGAAATAGCCAAAACTTTTACGCTGTATTAGTTAAGCTACAAATTTTGGACATTTAATGTCTTTTATGTTGTGATTCTGTTTCACAAAAACTACGTTTGGACAGTCAAACTGAGAATAACGTTGCAGATTTTAACTGAGGAATTTGTCTGAATCGGATGTTTGTGCGTGAGACACAACTAGCTTTTGTCAGACGAGATTCGTGTTAGATGGCACCCGGTTTTGAGTCTATGGACCTTTTTCTTTCTCATTGTCTCTTCTGGCAACGTCTTAAAGAGATGCAGTGTGCGTGTGACCTCCTCTGTTAGTTTCTGGATGTAGAAGTTCCACTGCAGCCAGGTTTTGAAAAGGAATACCACAGAATTCAGTAATTTGCATTTGATATTTCTTTAAACTAGGAAAGTTCAATTATTATTTGTGAACATGTACTACTTCTTTTCCACAAACATGAATCCAAACCCTGAAATCTGTGATGTTTCCACTCCCACACAATGTTGGGAACCGGACTTGTGTCACGCTGTAGAAAGTTACATTAGCCTCTCTGTCAGATCAGAGAGGCATTAATTCCTCTGTTACCTGTGGAAAATAAAGCCTAGTCCACAAATTGAGCGGTCCTGAGTTGCGTAGGACATGCACTCTGAATACTGCAATTCTTTGGTATCACTTTTTAACTCGTGTGCATTTCACTGCAGCATTGAGCGTGCAAACACATGATGTACATATTTATCTAATGCATTCTTATAATGGAATTTAGCTAGTGGTCTGTGCCATTATTGTACCATGGGACTGCCTCCTGAGAAACTTTTTCTATCTATACATTCCAATTGGATGCCTTGACTCAAGCCTTCTGTTACAGACTGAGGGAGATAGTTGTCATGGGAGGTCTTTTGCAGTGCTTGTAAAGTGGTCATTAGGACAGGACGATTACATCAAGGCAGAGGGCTATCTACTGTGTGGGAACCCCTCTCTCATGGGCTTCATGTGATGGCTGGAGTCTTAAGCTCCATGTTTGTTTGGCCCTAACAAGGCTATGTTTTGTATATATATATATATAACGCCTTACAACATTTCAACATAATTTATAGGACAAAAGGAAACAGGCGTATTACCCTGAATGAGACAATCCATGCATTTTTTTTCCACATGAACATCAGAAATACTCTCAGGCCTTTTCTGAAGGGACATATCCTCGAGTGTCTGCTACGTATCGGCACAGTTCCTCGGCCTGTAGTCACTTTTTCAGTCACAACTTTAAGTATCTCGTGTATGTGTACACACAACAACTATGTTGACACTTTGAAGAACTTAACACTATATTATTTAAGACACTCATTGTTGAACGTCTCACTCAAACGACGACTTAAGCTGCTCTTCTCGCGTTAACTTGGACTACCTGATGAAAAATAAAAACCTCCTTGCACATGGTTAAGGAATATTGTTAATTATGTACACATTTCATTGACTCCTTAGCAGTTTTTTTCCCCATGCAGCTTGAATAAATAAACATAAACATAAGGTGAAAGCAAGAAGGGAGAGGTGGGAGGCATTCTGGCAACATTTTTGTTTTTGTGTTTTTTTGTCTGTCTTTCTGTGAGTTTCACTCATTCATTGGCCCGTCAAGTGAACATGCTGATTAAACATTCCAGTGGAAGTTTAAAAAAAATGGAACTTCACTTAGGGCAGTTTTGAGTTGATATGGAACATTTTATGTTGGTTGTTGTTTGTATGAGTGAAAAGAGGGCAGAGTGACACATGGCACACATTTTTTTATCATTATTTCAGATCTACTACTGTGCATTAGCTTGCTATCCCTAGTCATTATTACCAGAATTTGATATTTTTTGTTGTAATGTGTTTGTTTCCCCCTAGTTTCTAAAATGAATCAATCAGAAGGATATTGTGTGTTCAGTGTCTCAAAGTGGTTTCTTGTATGCCATGTAAAAGTGATGGTGGGGTAAATGCTGTAAAATTTGTGTTTTGACAAGGTGGTTGTTGAACAAATTGTTGTCGTAATTTGGTTTTGCACTGTTACATTGATATGCACTAACAGAAGAGAAACATACCTCATTTTATACAGAACATAAATTGTGCAAGAGTGCTATTGTTCTCTGGGTACCTTTTAAAAAAAACAACTGAATAATGGCCAAAAGAATTATCTGAAGGTGGTAGCGGAAGCTTAAGCCAGCTGAATAATATTAATTTGTAAAAGTATGAAAGGGCTGTTTAAACATTTTGGCTTAAAAGGAACGAGTACATTTGTTAAAAAATAGTACCACGTTAATAGAACTTGCTGCAATTTGATATATTCAGATTAGCGGTACACCTATACCAGTACAAAGGCCTGAGTACCAGGACACGGCTCACAGACGATGAGAAAGGAATGAATTACAGCAACAGATGGATGGCTGTTGAATTGTTGAATTGACGCGTTCGTCTACGAAGTACTGAAGAAAACACTGGTACTCGAACCAATCAGCAAAAAAATGGTGTAGGTGCACCCCTAATTCAGGTAGTTACTTTTCCAGTCCATCATTTAACTACACAACTTTTCAAATATGCTCAGACTTTTACAACAAAACAGGGAAAAAAGGCTGCTTTATAAGGCTTGAGTGTTGTCATCTATGTAGCAGAGGGAAATGTTCATTCTTATTGTATGAGACACACATCCAGACTGCTGAACAATCTAAAGGGAGACATATTCTTTAACACAATATCAAACTCCCAGATTTTACTTTGTGGTGCATGTATATTGTGGACTGAAGAGTTATGCAGAGTAAAAATTTTAGTAACTACCCCAAGAATATCATTTCCACTGTACGGCCCATTGTGTTTATAGTTCACATAAAACATACAAGCGAAAGGAAGGCGTTTGTGAATAAGGAAGGTTACTCATTTGTGTTGATTTCAATGTTCATCTATTTACATAAATGACCAAATAATGTATGTAGCCTTTCACATTACAGTCACATAATGTATCTGGTGATATATATATAACAAAATGCCTTATAGACGAGGGACATTCAACCTGATTAGAAGTACCAGGATAATAAAAGACTAAGATCAATAGTTGCCTTGTTGTCGTTTGTAATGAGCCCCTCATCACTTTGAAGAACATCCTTTGTCTGAGCATGTGGACTGACTGAACTCTCCTGAAGATCGACGCTCATATAAACCCCCCAGTGACACCAGACCTTGGAGGATTCAGCAGGAAAGACGAAGAGAATCTAAAATTCCACGACAGTTCTCCAGACCCTTCAAAAGCCCCTCAGATTTACTCTCATTTGTTTTTGAGGTGAAAAAGGTGCCTTCTTAGACTTTAATTGTTTATGTTAACATTATGCACACATGGTACATATTCCTAAGTTATGTTTAATCAAATTACCATAGAATGACTGACACACACAACAGGCAGTGTTACTGCAGCATAGGGCTCTCTGGACTAATATGAAGCTGACAAGTACCGCAGTGTGTACAGTACTAGATGAAAGCTTGGAAATAAACAGCGTACATACACAGAAGATGGGGTAGATGGGGGTCCAAACTACAATTTTTTTTTACCCCAGGTAACAAAGTTAAACAGCCCATAAGTGGAGAGGCAGTGAGGCGACAGTGACAATCAGCACAAATCATTTTGCTTATCAGTTTCTGTATTTTAATCAACCTTTATCAACCAGTTCTGACAGGTGTGACAGTAAGGAGTGTGTCAATGTCTAAATACATGCAGTGCAGACCTGGATGTCTTGGTCCCAAAAAAACCAACATAAACAGCTCTTAAATGAAATAATAAATAAACCTGAAATGACTGAGGAAGCAATATGGAAGTCTAAGGTGATGGTTTAGTCAGATACGTAACAAAGTGCAGATGTGTCCCAGATTTTTCAGATTTAATACTTCAGTTGACATCAAAGCACTTCCAGCTTGTACCAAAAGGTTAAATGACAGACATAACCTGTCCTAATATCAAGTCTTCAAATTGATACTACAGGCTCCAAACTGAGTGAAAACTGCCAGAATTTGAGCCATTATTTGACTGCCAGGCTTAATCAAATTTGGAAATATAAAAACAATCTATTAATGGTCCTTTCAGGGACTCTGACACCATTGACTGCCCTGCAGAAACAGACTTGAAAGTAATTTTATTTCAGAGACACAGGCCTGTATGTAATTAACCTCAGTCTGTAAGAGGTATTTTGCTACAATGCAGGCTAGCTTACAGTTCGATACTGTTTTAGCAAATTCAAACCAGTCTTTACAAAAACAGGACATCCACACCAAGTATGACTTTTCAAAATAATTAGTCATCCGTTTCCTCACAGAGAAACATTCAAATGAGTGAATGATCCCTGTCACTTTGAGCTCTATAATACACTAAAATTAGACATATTACACTGGAAAACTGAGTGTGACACTGGGCTATTGAAAATGTACATACAACACTCAATCTGAGGGTAAGTTGGTAACATCACTTGAAAACTTACAAAGACCTAGGGCTGTACAAGATCTTCCTAAATATAAGTAAAACGTGCGCAGGGTTGCTTAATGGTAACAGCGGAACTGTCAGGAAAACCCTACACTGAGGTAAACACTTGTCTATACGAAATAAAATAGTGTTATCAACCTTGTGGCTACAAGTCTGCCACCTAAAAACAGTTGATATCCTAAAAATAAAGAGTTCAGAAAAGTCTTCAAATGTTCAGGTGCTTTAAAGTGGCAGATTTTGGTTGCAGTTAGAACTGCCGCGGTGTTCCTTTGTAGGGCTTGAACCCACCCACGTTGCCACCACTGGGAATGGTGTTGTTGGTGATCTGTACAATTCGATTGAGTCCAGACGAAGAGTGACTAGAGAGAGACAAAGTCCAAATTTAAGACTGCTGAGAACAGGGGGTCATAAAATTCATATTCATTTGTTTGTAATTTTTGTATACCTCGAAGGAGCCATCATGCTGCCCCGGCTGTCTCCCATCCTTCGATTATCAGGGAAGCCCCTTTCCTGGGAGCTTGATCCACCGTGCCACTCCTTCCTCAGACCCTGCTCCCTGCTGTGACGTTCCACAACCACCTGCCGGCCAGAGCTGAATGGCTGCGGACGCAAGACTGACGTCAATAAAACTGGCACGCTAAGAACATTTTCATTTCTGCAACTTACTAGAGTGCTTATTTTCATCATGTTATTCATTAATAGATTTGGGGGAGTGTCAGAAAACGGGAAATGTTTTTTTCGTTTTTTACAAAATACCCATAGTTCAACACTGCTTGTGTTGTCTGACAGTTCAAAACCCAAAATGTATTTTCAGATTTTAAACCCCTCTCTTACTTAGGATAACTGCAAAAAAACCAACAAAAAAAAAAAAACACTTCCACATTCTCTTCACGAGGCAAACATATGTGTTATTGAATAAGGGGAAAGATCCCTCGGATCCTGCTAATTACAGGCCAATCTCCTTGCTTAATTTTGACCATAACATTTTAACTAAAGTATTGGCCACCAGATTAAATAGGCATATAGCAACAATTACACATTCAATCGTTAATTTCAATGTTTGTCATTTGTTAAATATTATCCATTCTGACTGGGCTAAAAACACTCCACAGCAGCTGCCATGACACTGGATGCTCAGAAGGCTTCTGACTCCAGTAAATGCCCTTATTTATTTGAAACTTTGGGAAGATCTTTGTGGACTGGATGAAAATGATTTATGGCTCTCTTAAAGCCTCTGTAATAACAAACAACATTTCCTCAGACCCATTTAGTCTATATTGGGGTGTAAGAGCGAGATTGCCTGTCCCCTGGCAAGAATGCCTTCTTCGGATGTACGCTGATGATTTACACGTTACCTTAATGAATCCTGAAGTGGGTGTTCCTTATCTTTGACAAAATATATTAAGTCATTCAGTAAAATCTCTGGTTACACAAAAAATTGGGCTAAAAGCAAACTTATGCTTACTGGGCATATATATTTTTACAGGATTGCCCTGTTAAGGTTGTTCTTAACCTCCTGAACATTTGCTTGAATTTAAGGTGCAGAAATATTGGGCAGCTAATGTGAGGGCACTGGCATAGGGACTATCCAGATAATGACTCACTTAAATTTTGCCCCCCTTCTAGCTAAAGTTTAGGTTGTGTTTATGTTGTTAATTAACCCATATGCCTCACTGTCGTTTCATTTGCTACGAGATCAGTAAGTCATACTTTTGTTACACAAAATTGTGTAATTGTCACAAATTCACTGAAGATTCTTTATCAAGTTAAACATATCTGTAAGAGTCCTAGTATTTAGATATGTACACCATTTTGCCATAACCATACCTCTGCCCCAGCATTGCTGGATTCTGAACATATTCACTGTATTAAGGTTTGGGAGAGGGAAATCAATGCTGTGCTGCCTGAGAAAATATGGAGGACTGCACTCTCATATCCACAGCAGACACACGTTTATTCAGTTTAAATAGATTCATCGTTTCCATTACTCTATGGTCATGTTACATAAATTCAACCCTTACATTTATCACAGACTGGAGAAACTGAAGTCCAATGATGGTACAATGTTGCATTTATTTTGGAATTGTCATCTAATCTACCCATTTTGGTTAAGAATTTCGTTTTTCCTGAGGTTTACCACAGGGCTCTCTCTGTCCTGACAGAGAACTGGCCCTCTTTGGGTGCTCACAGGATTCTTTAACTCTCCCCCCACAAACTCAAACAGCCCTATCGATAGACATGGTACTGGCAAAAAGGCTGGAAAACTCCTACTGCACCATGCTTTAGACTTTGGTTCAATGAGTTTGTTTTAGTTCTTATTACATGGAGAAATTGCCATGTCAACAGAAATGGGACGAATCTTGGGGGCCCTTGTTGCAATACTTGGACTTTTACCCGACCACAGCTTCATATATCAATTGTTTTGTACAGGATATTCATAAGAAATTCACTTAAGCTCTAAGTCAGAAGGTAAGCTGACCTGATTACTCATCACCATGGGCCTCGTGTCTCGATCATTAAAGCTGCTCCTTCCACGGCTGGACGAGGAGCCTCCTCTAAGTGCAGGGCCTGGACCATCTCTGCCTGATCGCTCTGCACGCATGCGCATAGGTCCTCTGCTCAACCCAGAATGACATTAGGCAAGATATTCAAAAATTAGCTTTCACTTATTGGGGGGGAAAATGGCATAATGCTTCTTTTTCAAAAACAGCATATTTACCGTAAATCTCCCTTGTTGGAGTTTATCCCGGTATCATTCTTCCATCCGTGCCCTCCATCCCTGGGTGAGCGGTTGTGCGACATGCTAGGCATTGTGGCTCTGGCTCCCATAGGGCGATCATGCATGGGTACAGGCCGCCTCTCATCTCTGTCCCTGCGGTCGGGTTCCCGGAGTTCGGTGCGTGGAGGAGGAGGTGGCTCAGCTCTGCGGACTGGTTCAAAGTTCTTGGGGTAGCGCTCAAAGCCAGAGCCCTCTCTGTGAGGAGCAGGGCGACTCTTCTTTACCTCTGGCTCACCGTCAAACCGGTTACGTCTAAACAAAGACCAAAATAGGATTAGTGACATCACAAAAAGTGAAATGATCAAGGCGGTGCAGCAACAGTTAACCTGTTAGGCCAGAAACACAGAGCCTAAGGACCAGCGGGCTGTCAACACCAAGAACAATAAGAGCAACTGCAAATATATATCATTTTAAAAGTGGATTGTGGAGTCCACACCATAACTATAACGACATGAATCATTGGAATCATTTTCACGGCAATTTGATGAACATTATTGTGGAATAGAACTTTTTACCGTAAGTGCTAATTACGTTATTAATGCAAATTACAAATTACAAATAAGAGAAAAGAGAAAACGTAACTGAGACATACTTGCAACCTGTCTGTTGTGTTGTAGTTTGCTTGGTCCTTACTGATGTCTCGAACTTGACTGATTTTTAACCCAAATTATTAATACACTGTCTTCAGAAGACTACAACAGAGTGTTGGATTCTCTCAACTCCTCTTGTCTTTGAAGAATTTCGTGAACCCATTTCCTTCTGGTTCTTTTTGTTTCTTTGTGCAATGTACAGTAGCAGGTCATCCATATTCAAGTTCCTATTAAGCTGCAGACAGATCTTTATAGTTATCGTTCTTGGTGTGGACAGCCTTTTTGAACCCAACTTTTCCTACTGTGTCAAAATTCCTGCTGTGAAAAGGGCCTCTTGTGACTAATAATGTTGGAATTTCTCAATTCCTATAGTTTAAACACCTGTACCTGTCATACGTGTTGGGCTGCTCCGCAGCAGCCTCTGGAAAGCGACCCCTCTCTCTGGGATTGAAGTTTGAAAAGCGGTTCTGCTGCCGGTTGTAGTTCGAGCCCTGGTTCAAACGCACATCAGACTCAGGCTGCATCTTCTTGTTGCCATTCCAATAGGGATCGTCTCTCCGACTGAAACATTAAATACAGACGTACTCCATGAGTCATGAGCTTGGATGACAATACTTAGTTATCAGGTTCAGGTACTTGTTCAAGATGTAGTCTGGTGTAATTAATTAATCCTTTTTTAAACACATCATCTTTGCTTAAAGAGTGTTTTGGTTTAAAGTCAAAAGCTGCAATGGTAAGAGCCAACAACCGACCAAGTCAATGTGAATTCCAAAAAACAAAAACAACTGAACTTTACTTAACTGTACCAGTAGAAATGGTCACTAGTTTTGGTTCCAGAATTCAAATTGACCACTAGTTACTAAGATGGATCTTAATCTGTCCACCAATGCTAATTTTGAATCACATATGGTGCTAGCCAAACATTTAGGACGCTATCAAACAGTTTCTCTCTGTTACCATTTCTATGAGCCTGTACTTCAGTTCACCTTGGTTCCTCAGTTCAAGGAAAAAAATGATGGCAATGGTTCACTGATAATCAATAGCTTTCTTTTTTCAATCAATCAACACAAAACTGCTGAGGGACAAAAGTGTATATACCCATGTTCCACTTCACGGCCTCTTTTGAGGTTGTTCCTCTTTTCTTGCTCATAACGGAGCTGCTCCTGCTGCCTCCGCAGCTCCTCACGTTCACGTGCCATGCGCTCTGCCTCTTTACGCCGTTCCTAAAAGAGGAAATATTAAATGCACTGATTAAAATGTATTACTGAGAAATGTGGATGTCGTTGTACAATGACAAGCAGTAACAAAATCACATACTCTGAGTGGCTTTAACAGATTTCTCAAAGTAAACTGGATTAATTTAAACAATAAATTACAAGCCAATTAATGACTATAATATAATTGTTGCTCATGGACACAGTTGTTTATCCCTTTTTCCTGCAACACACCTGAAATCCTGGACAACAACTGCTTAACCATATATTGCATAATCATTAATCCGAGATGGACAGAGTTTAAGAAAACCTGAAGATTTTTATCCAGAATGGTGTTTACTGTACCTGTTCAATACGGACTCTCTCTCTCTCAAGCCTCTCCCTCTCCAAGCGCTCCCTTTCCAGTTTTTGTCTTTCCATCTCGAGTCTCTGGCGCTCCCGGAGCAGGTTCTCCCGTTCTTCACGCTCCCGCAACAGACGGACGCGTTCACGCTCCCGGCGTTCTCGTTCAGCAATTTCGCGGCGCCTAAAAAAAAAAAAAAAACACAAACACACATTGTCTTAACATACACGCAACTCTGAATTTTAAATCTACTAAACTGTGGGCTGCTCCAGCCTACCTGCGCAACTCTACGGCTCTACGGACACGCTCGACGCGAGCCATCCGTTCACGCATCCTCTGCTCCTTCATCTTCTCAAAAGGCAGGATGTCTTCCCCCTTGTTAATAAAAGGTCGCTGTTTCTCTTTCATCATTTCAAACTGAGGCAGGGGACAATAGAAATTTAACTTTTAAAAAAGAAATAACTCATTGGTAAAGCATGTTAAAAGTAAATACTATGGTATATGTCCATGGTATAAAGAGTTTTGTTACCTCTTCAGGGGGAATCAACCATTTTGGCCGCCTTTGGATATTCATATTGACAAAAGGCTGAAAAAAAAGTATGAAACAATCTCATTTAACATCCTCTGAAGGCAAATCTACAATGTGCTTTAAATATATAATTGTATGTTCAAATACAAATAAAAAGTCTTACTTTATCAAAATACCTCCCCCTTCTGAAAGGTCTCATTTTGCCAAAATTTGAGTCTCCTTTGGCATGATGCATCACCGCCATCTTGCATGGGCTCTTTGCCCCTAGAGAAAAATAAAAGACAAATAATCAGAAGAAAGATACATATGCTTACTGATGAACTCAATTGGATTCTCTAAATTAGAGACGAGAAGAGGAATTAAACCTACTCCCATGCTTTCTGTCATCTTTCTTCGAAGTATCCTGTCCCGAGTTTGATGAAACGGAATCAGATTTTCCACTTCTGGTCTCTTGTTTCTTGGATAAATCTTTGTCCTTTTCTGAAAGTTTATCCAATTTCTTGTCTTCTTTTTTGTATGATGGCTGTGCTCTACGTGCAAAGAGAACATAAAGGTTAACAGTGCTTCCAATCAACAACAGAGTCACTTTTCAACTTTGTCTGTCACCCACTTGTTAGTCAACTTCATCCCTGTGGAACTGCGCTTATCACTTGATTTGCTGGAACCGGCTTTGTCCTCTGCTTCCTTCTTTGAGCACTCTTTTTTGAACGGATCATTTTTGGCCTGGAAAATCAGCAGCAGCGAAACAAATGACACAGGCCCACAATTTTTTCATTTATAAAAAGGGTATCATTAGACCAATCGAGATTTCTTCAAATATAATTTTGACTTAGCATCTGCTGCCTAACTTACCCTTTCAACATATATCTGTTGTCCATGGAGCTCTGTACAGTCAAGGTGGGAGACACACCGTGTCACCTCTGTACTGGAAGACATCGTCACCAAGCCGTAACACTTTGAACCAGGACTACGAGCGTTTGTAACCACCTTGGCACTCAAAACCTGTTGGCAACAAATTTCATTTCAACATTTTTCTACAACACTGAGCATAGGTTTATGGTGATACTTTCAAACATATTCACAATAAGAAACAACCATTTCGAAAAAAACCTGCACCCGTTATTTACCTTCCCGTATTTGCCAAACAGGTTCTTTAGATCCGCTGCTTTGGTGTTTGAAGACAGGCCACTCACCCACAAGTTACGAGAAGAGCTGCTGTTGCTGCTACTGTTGACGACTCCTGACGAAGAGGTTTACACACATTGACAGAGTAAAGAACATTGCGTCGAGTTGAATCAAATGAGTTATGGGCTTCCGTGGGTTTTAACAGTTGAACATAACTCTTACCCTTTTCATCTTTTGCAGCTTTTCCGTCTCTGTCTCTTGAAGAGCTACAAAGCAAATATTGCAACAACAAACAAGGGAAATAAGTGAAGGTAAATAAAACCCTGGTGTAAAGAGACAGGCAAACAAGCTAGTGGAATAAAACACTGTATTTGGTAATTTTCAGGAAAAAAAATCCCGTAGGCAAGGCGCAGATCTGAACCAATGTCTCAAAGGCTTCATTGCTTTTCCAGTGGTGAGATGGGTCAGGTTGTCAGCCAATTTATTCCCTGGACCAATGAAATCTTCGGAGGTTTGTTCAACTTCACAGCGAATCATTTGACCAAAAAGAAAAAAAAAAAAACACACTGCCATCATGGGGACTAATGCTCTTTAACAATGCCTTGTGTAGAAATTGGAAAAGGCTTTAAAACTGCTGGAAAGGTCAAAGTAACAAAATAAGAGGTGTTTTCTCAGCTCCTGGTTAACGTCACAATTTAACCAACTTCAGAAAAATAAACCAAAGTAGTAAATGGCAGGTTTAGGTACATCAGTGAACATTTCCCTTATGGCAAAAAGAAATCTTGAGGCTACCCACAATGTTGCGTTCTTAGTGAGTTGGACTTGGTAGTAGTATCAAAGAACTGACATAGAAAGACAAACCTCTTTGCTTGACCTGATGCCCCAGTAGTGGAGGGGCCTTTCTTCCCAGAATCCTTGTCTTTATCTCCCGTTTCAGCTTTCTTCAAGGCCTCTCTGCTGTCTTTCTTCGTGGGCTCACCCCTGGATCCATCATCTTTCTTACCATCTTTGTGGCCCTCCGTCTCTTCCACCTTCATATCATCATCTGGGCCCGTCTCAGCAGAGGCCTCTGGCTCATCAGTGCCCTTCTCGGCCTCTGGATCTGGAAGTTTCACATGTTTACCTGTTTCCAGGAGATCGTCACCATCAACATCTAGGGTGAGGGCATCTTCATTTGGGATTGAGACGGATAGGTGATCGTCCTCTGCTTCTTTAGAGGAATTCATGGCTTCAGCATCCATCTCAGCCAGTTCGGTCTCCCCCTCTGGCTCAGCCTCCCCATCCATCTCTGGGTCGGCCTCCTCATCCATCTCTGGCTCCGCATCTGCATCGACCTCTGGCTCCGCATCTGCATCCAGCTCTGCCTCAGCATCACCATCCATCTCTGGCTCAGGCTCTGAATCAGCCTCAGCCGCCACAGCTTCTGACTCTGGTTCAGTCTCAGCCTCAGGCTGAGCGAGGCTGTCCTCGCAGGGTGCTGGCTTAGAATTTTCACGAGTACCATCATCTGTATCAGTTACATCTGAGGGATTTAATAAGGATAAACATGGCAAAAACACAACTTTTAACATTGACATGTCGATTGTTACTTGACCTAAAAAGTAGAATAGAAAGCACATTTAGTGTTAATGGTCATCGAGGGCGTAGACACCACAGGAAGACACAAAACACACAATCTTCACTGAAAATGGGTGGTGATTCAGTGCTCTTCATTTCTTGACACATGTAAAGTGAGAGTCAATTCATACTGAACGTGCAATTCCAGATGCTTCCTACAATGTGTGGCAGTTCTCCAGATGGGAATCTTGTGACAAAGTTCTAATGAGGAGGAACGCATCAGTTAATACTTATTTTTTTCCCCCCATCACGCAAAACGCATCTCCAGCTGATCAGTCCATGGAAAGTCATCTGAGTTTTAGGAAATATCTTCAGTATCTTCCAATATTTCTTCAATAATCAATGTCATCAATGTCTTAGGAGGTTTCAAAACACAAAATGATTGTGCATCATCATATCCAACCTGCTGTAATGTGTCCAGTCAGCTGTACACAACTGTGTACAAAAAGTGTGTCCCATTGGTCCCAACAGTCTGTCCTTGCCAGTTCTAGGTCACGCTGTATGTCAGATCTCTTCATTACACACATAATGGGGGCAGCAAGATGTGCGACTCTGATGGATGTCTGCAATGAATATATGAAGTCTCTTGATCTTTCAGTTGCCTCCTGACATCCCTGCATCTTTACACCGTGTTTAGAGGAGTCTAGCGGTCCTTGAGTTGACCCAAAACAAAGCCACATTCACCGGCCGTCTCACCTGACAAAACCTGTAATAAAGGTGTGTGATTCCTGTGGTACTGGTTCTGTCCACCAATGTTGTCAAGTAAAATGTCAACAGGAAAGTGCAATCATCCTTGAGTTCAACACGTTGCTCCAATTTTTTGGACATCATAAAATGTCATCTTGTTTGTGAACCGTCACTCTTTGTTTCCCAGGGGAATGTAGTTGAATGCCAGAGGCGACGGGAAATCCACTGAAGCACACAGAACTTTTCTTTACAATTTTGAGTTATCCAAGGAAATTGTGTACTTGGGTCAAGGCAACCGACATCCAATGATTCATGTGTGTACCAATTAGAAAAAACTTGAGTCAGTCTTCAGAAATGTCTTCATTAAGCATGTCCTTGGTGCTCCTTTTAGTGCAGTGTGACCTAGATAATGCAGTAGCTAGCAGAAGCATGAAACACCACTACATATAGGTTATGCATTCTACCAGGAGTTTCTTGTCATCAGTGTAAGCTGTAAGAAAGAAACGACCTAATGTTAGCATTAGGTACCAGTGTACCAGCCTACATACCTTTTTCTGATTCGTACTCTTCCGTTTCCTAGAAAAGAAAATACTGAGGTGAGCTAACAAATATTTCAATGCAATAGACACAGCAACAAAAAGTAGTTTTAGACCAATAAAAGGGCCGTATTTTTATTTTATTTTAATTTTTTTTAAATCACAAAACTCCAAAATGTTGCTTAAAATTAAGGGCTGCCAAAAAGGAGTTTGAACCAGTGTGAAACAAGTTTGTGGCTTTGCAATCAGTTCAAGTGTGTTAAATGGGAGAGAGAAAGGTCTGAATTACACGTTCCTTTCATAGATCTACATCCATTCAATGTTTCACTCTGACCTCCTGGCAGTCTTTTTTTTGGAATGAACAGATGTTTGTGTGGTCTCCCTTGGTGACCCAAACTTTGAAATAAAAACAGGTTTTTTTTTCTTTAGACAAACCATGGAGACAGATCTCATTATGGCGATCAGACTCATACGTAATCAAAAACCATTGGTTGTAAACAATTCATTGCCAACTGTTTATGTACAAAAACTGGCACTAATATTTTATTCTCACAATAATATCTAACCATTTTGGCAAGAGAGGTCAAAGAAATGTGTGCCAGTCACCTTGGAAAACAAGTCATCTTCCCCTGCGTCCGCATCTGAATCCACCTTTTTCCCTGAAAGGTGAAATAAATAAAAAATTAAAAATGTACAACATGAAAAAAAGAGAATGCTCAGGAACACTGATTAAATCTAAAGCAAAATTACCTTTAGCTTTGCCACCTTTTCGAGGTGGTGTGTCAGTTGAAAGCTGGATTTGAATGTTTTCTGGGTCACCACCTTCATCTTCAATAGCCTTAAAAAGACAAGAGATTTAATAAAGTTCATGCACAGTAAACAAGTAGGTTATGGTTGTTTCATCCGTCACCAACTGTCTAGTCAACAACAATCTCATCCACCTGCTAAGACAGAATAAGCTGAGAGCTAGATATTATACAAGATTAAAAATAAATCCAATTAATTTAAACCTGCGCCATGTTTGTGTCAACATGCGATTGATTATATCCATTCATCACATCGCTTGTGCAACAAGTGAGATGTTTAATCCTGTGAAGGACAATGTGCAGGCCCAGAATATCAGTAATTAAAACCACATACTGCTGATTCTTTTGCAACTAACGCACAAATTGTGCTTTAAATGGGAGGTTTTCTTCTGCTAACTCAATTCAGGTTTTAGTCCGTCATGTCAGTGACCTCATACTGAAAGCTAAAGCTAACGTTACATATATCTGATAAGCGGTTCAAAAAGATTTAGATTCAATAAGAGGATTGAAAAGTGGACTCAGATCTAAACAGTGTTGGGGTTGATAAGACTTTATTGAATCTTATCATTCAGAAAACCACATGGGGCAATTAATTCATATCGAGTATGTTCAGACAATTCAATGTATTTTTAAACTCTGCTGATAGAAAGGCAGAGAGATCTTCTGGCAGACTTCAATCATTAAATGTCACACGATTTACGCGACATTTTTTCATTTTTAAGCCCAAAATGTATACCATATATTACCATAATCTATTCATCCAGCGTGTTTACTTTATCAACTGAGATTATTTCATGGATGAACATCAGTGATGTAACGTGTTCTGTCGAACAAATTAGATTATTATCTATTCAATGTAGACTTTATAGAACATGTGCGTGGTCCTCGACCCAATTAACAACAAAGCTGAATCCAATCACATGCAATCTATTCACTAATGTCAGGTGAAGAAAACGAACAAATCGACACTTTCAAGAGGTTCAGAAAGCACTATTGACATGTCATGTCTGCACAGGCCTTTCGTTTTCCCAAATAGTGCGTGTATCGTTAATGTTACAATGAAACGCAACTTCGTCGCAGCAATTAATCAAGCTCGAGTAGCAAACATTTAATTTCTTCCTACAAGAGTGTGTGTGTGTGAAGTGCTTGCCAAATGTAATGTTGTCTGAATGTAAACTGAGCCTGCAGTCGTTTAAATGGTTAACTAAACAAAGCTGACCACATAACCTATCGTTAGCATTACATCGTTAGCATCGTTAGCATCGTTAGCATTAAAGCGTTAGCATGCTCCCGTTAGCCTCGGTAGCTCAGCGGCTCTTTCTTCCACAAATCAACGTCGTTTTTTCAGTTACCTGTCTCAGTCTCGACAGGAGGACGCTCTTCACGCCAGATGTGTCCAAGTTCCTTCGCTTGAGCTCGGATTTTAGATCAACAACCCGTAGTTCTGATATTTTCTTGCACTCCGTGGAAATGGCACCCGTCGCCATTTTACCTCAAGATTACTGTCGTGTGCGCGCGCAGACGGTTTAGCCAGCTTTCTTCTTCGTCGTCTTCATTAGTTGTGGTTAAATGGCACGACGCCTCCTGCTGGTGGTGGAGTCAGTGAGTGAATGAATCTGTGTCCCATCACTTATTCCAGGAGTACAATCTGTTTCAGGTCATTCAACACGCGTCCATGTCCTAGTTTAGGTGAAAATAAAAGCTTGGTAAAATGTATTCATTATAAGTGGTGTTTTTAAAAACTGCACAAGATGGTTCTTTGTTTTGTTTCAGACCGTCATTTAATCAATAAACTCCCTGTTTCCATCCAGGGGGTCC